ATTCTCCTAATGATAATATGACCCTCTGTTGGTAAGTCACCGGCTCAACTTCAGCAGCCACGCTGGTTTATGACAAAGCGTTTGATAAACAAAAACAAAACAAAACAAATCAATTTCGTTACACTTCAGACAATACATAACTATTTACTACCAATGAATAAAGGAAGTAAGTTTCTAAAGAAACTGTAGTGCTGCGTTGGTGGGAGAGTATAGCAGGTAATTCAGTGTTAACAACTGAGTTGAAAACGTTAATTGGCCACCGTAAGGAGTAAAGTTTCGAGCGTTAGCCCCTCGCTCTGACGAAGGGCTAACGCTCGGAACGTCAGCTTTTTTACCCTTTACGGTGGCCAATTTACGTTTTCAACTCAGTTGTTAACACTAAATTACCTATTTACTACTTAAGTGTTTATTTATATGTCGACAAAATATTTACATGCTAAATTAGTCTCTCTAACGAAAATAATTTCTTCAACTAAAAGATAAAGATATGCAAAATTAAAATTAACTGATGCTTATCTGGGATAGGCACCTTTTAGTTAAATTGATGCCATGTTTAGAATTGCTCTGCGCCGCAGCTGTCAGATCCTCACCATACCGATCAAAAGGTCTCAGAAGACGACAACGACGGAGATACATTTTCGGAAATGTTGTGGAACTCCTATCGGTGTGTACTATTCGAAATACAGACCCCATTCGCGTGCCAACAACGACATGAAATAAACGGCTGATGACCTGTCCCAATATAAGAATAACTCAACAGAGATCCAAATTTTGTTATTATATAATGACGCTGCTGGTAAACACAATCCAAGAATGGATTCATGATGATACGATGTTAAAAACAGTGCCAATCGGCATAGTTAAGGTTGCAAATTAACCTAAGAATTACCGGAACTTTATGAAAACAGAAAGTATAATTACAACATGCATTACAGACAGAGAATTAAACACATTCAGGTTTTGCAATGAGTTCAATTTTGCAGTTGGTGTTGAAATGAGACCAGTTTGAAAGTGAACCGCCAAAACTTTCAAGGAAGAAATAAAAGCACTCTTCGAAATAGAAGCCGCCTCTTGACTCAGATCATTTAACGAGGACCCTGGGGGCTAATTGGAGCATTGACTGGGTTTTTTCATAACACAAATTCACGAGTTAGTTTTTGCATAAGGACCATAGGTGACTGAGCTGCTTGCATTGCAAATAGGCAAGGATTCTTCACTACAACTCCGTTTGAGTTCGAAAGAAATTGTATCAAAGCTTACTGGAAATGAAATATTTTAGTAATCGTCGAAACCTCTGATTGCTAAAAGGAGGTTATATATAATGGAAAAACAGAAAAAGGCACAGGCATACTCTTCGTCGCATGTGCGAAGCAATCTCGCCAGCCCATGCGAAGGCCATGACTTCATCAGTTTAATCACTGTCAAATGTTACCCTCGTTAAATACAAAGTGTACTACTACTACTACTACTACTACTGCTGCTGCTGCTGCTGCTGCTACTACTACTACTACTACTACTACTACTAGACCTTCGGTCACCGTCTATTCGACTCAGAAGAAGATAATTTGCCTTCCAAGAAGGTCCTAGAAGGAGACTGTGTAGAACGAACAGGACTCGCAGAGGTCAAGTTTGCGGTGGCAACAAGCAGTAAAAACACGACAGCCAAATGTCTGCTAACGAGGGTCGGTTGCTACAATATAAGGAAACAGAGAAAAGGATATGTGAATAATTTTTTCTTAATCTGAGGAAAAAACGAGAAAAATGCCCGAGATTAATTTTTGATAGCACTTCTTGTCATTTTTTCCCCCAGTCAGTTAAAATGTAACTCTGTTTGTGCTGAAAGCCTTAAATTGAGAAACTATCGTGGGGCATACTTTTAATAGGATTTTTTTCGAACAATTTCCAAACATGAAGCAGAAAAGATTTTTCCAATATCATTCAGGGAAGCCTGAACGTATACCCTGAACAGGTCAAATTAAGAATAGGTTTCTGAAAACTCTTCATATACTCCTGTAATACGGAAGTGGAGTGTTTCAAATCTGACCTGACAATACGCCGGCCCTTTTTGCATACTTACATCAAGCATGATTCTTGTCCTCTATGTTCCACTTTGTTGCGTTTCTGACTTGTCTCTCCTAATGATCAGCTGTTTTTAACTGGAGCTGATGTACACTGGAGCAAAGCTGGGCTTTGCTCCCTTTTATGCTGTTCTCGGTGCTATGCATATACATTGTTAATAGATTTTGCCATTTCAGCGAGAGTTACACTTTGTACTTTGTGGTTATTTCTAACTTCCATGGTACTCCAGATCCTCATCAAGCATAGGAATGCCAGTAATGTGTAATGAAATAGCTATTTGTTGCACTTTACGTAAAAGTATCTCAAGTCTTCAAATTATATAAACAGTACAGTTTTCCCAGCTGTGGTTTGCGGTTGATACCGATATTTGCATATGTAGACATAAAGACTTGCTGCTTTACTACGGAATTTGAGTTCTGTATTTTATTACTATTTTTGAGGGCTGCTTCACAGCTTCAGCAAAATTGCACCTCCGGTTACGATGTTTTTTTTACATGGAAACTGATTATTAATTTTTGGACTGTATTTTTAACTCGTACCTCTTGAAATATATTAAGACGTCCACGACTAATTTTAGCTCATTTTCAGTTTTAACGGTTGGCCGGTCTTAAACCCAAACTTACTCATTTTCTGATGTGTTTGTTTAATCCCTCTTTTCTTCAAACAAACTACCTTTCAACAATTAACAACGAAAACTGCATTCCCAGAACTGCGCAATGAATGCACTGAAACTGTTTAAAACGTTGACAAACTGCTTACCAGCAGGAAGTCTGTGCTGTATTTCCGTGTTTTGATGTTCTCACACTAATTATTTTACGTTGTTATAAACAGGTGTCTTGTCTCATAGTTGATACTATGAATGCACCGCGTCGCGTTTCACATTTCTAATTTAACGTGCTAATTCTTACTCAGCATTGAGAATCCGATAAAATAACAGTCTTGTTTTAATATCTAAGTGCATGGAGACTCTGGATGAAATTCATTGTTCACAATAGTCTTCTCTCAGTTTTGAAATATTGCTGAAATTTCATCATGCAGCCTTCAAATTATAAAAATTTTCGTTTATTTCTTGAAAGACTATCTGGTGTGTGTAATTTTGCACCCATGGTTTTATGCAAAGTGAACGCAAATCTCTCCACGCGATGTTTATTCATCTACATATTAAGTGCCTTGATCGATGCCTTAATCATTGCCAACACATGATGTAGGGGAGATTTCAGGCTTTTAATCTTGAGTCGTAGCAGTCAATAAACATTTATCGTCAAAGCCAGTTTGCCAACACCCAAGTTTCACAAATCAAGCCCATTTTAAACCACCAAGTTGGCTGTTTGAAAATGTCAGTACTCTTAGGAATGTTTATTTTCATTTATCAAACAAGGAAGTGCTCATACGAAGTCTTGTAATTGAAAGTGAGTGTCAGCTAAAACATCAGTAACATGATAATAATGCAAGTATTAGACAAGAAAACAAAGCAGAAATACTGTATAACAGCAATGGATGTTTTAACAATACCTATAGCTTCCTTCGGTGAAGGTGCAAGAGACCTAATATATCTTCATTCTGTCACACAGTTGTAATAAACCAAAGCTTACAAACGATGAATATCATCGTAAAGTAACGTGCCGCCAAAAAGCTATAAGGTCCATTAAGGTCCATTATCGTCTAAGACATCCGGCAGGAAGCTGATGGTCAACATGTTGACTGTTCGCTAAAACATATAGATGTTCGAAGACATTTGATTCCAAATTGATGGTGCATGGCATGTAGTCACGCAAGATGTACAAATGTTTTCCGGAGGAAATAAAAGGTGCATCACTCCATCACCCAGAGACAAGAGGAGCACGTACTGATTTGAAATAAAGTAGAATCGTATAATTTCCACTTTTTTCATATAAAACGCGACACCTTAAAAGCGTTTTTACTTCATTTGAGGGATTACAGAGCAAAAGTAGAGAAAAAAGGATAAATCAGGACAAATCTGTGTGAAATCAAAATTCCAAACTTCTTGTACCATGAACTACTTTGGAGTCTCTTGTAAGAACTCCTCTCAGCAGGTGGCAGCTGAATTTGAAGGAAAACAACGTTAGCATTTGTGGTTTATCGCGTTTACCTGCACTTTTCGAGAGTGTTCTGGCGTAGTTTTTTTTAACAGCATCTCCCAATAGTCTAATTTACGGTTAGGTGTTTGAACAGAACAGAACTGAGGTTGAGTTTGACGGGAAACTACTATGCATAATAGGGTGATACATTGGGTATATCTACATGATATGATGACATGATTAAGTTTTAAAAGCTTTATACTGGGAGTTTTACATCGTTCAAATGAGTCCATCAAATTCAGAAATAGTAGCATTCTCAGTATAACTCTTGATTACGGGTATACAAATGTTCATAAATTTAACCAGCTAGAGAACCTCAATTTTTTTTAATTGTTTGGAATGAATCACTGATTTTTTCGCGATCGTAAATTCAGGATATGTGGTCAATGATTTATTGCCTTCAAAATTTTCACAGAGAAAATCTTCATTTCTCGGAAATGGAGCGATCCAATAGCATTTCGCGGACGTGCATATTGTTGCATTTCACGGTTGTAATATACGAAACCAAAATATCCATGAAATATCCTGAACAAAGTCAACACACACGATATTTACTTCTTTGTTCACTTTATTTAACCTCATTTCACGAAGCAAATGCATTTGTTTCAATGTTTCTACCTTTGGACTCAAACATCCTGAAGCTTATTGCTCCAACCATCAATAATTACATAATGTAAAGTTACAATTTAAAGACCAAATTACCGACAAAGCAATGATATCTCCCACCTAAAAAATTTAACTTCTATTTCGATACGTTCGAACTTGAACGTTGTCTTAACATAACCAGTTCTTAACTTGATCCATAACAGGAGGTCAGGTCTACGACTAGATCTCTAACATTGGCTTCCTAATAATAATAATAATTCAATGGTTAATTAAAAATAATAATTAATGGTTTATTAACGTAAAAAGAGCCAGATTTCCTCGTGGAGTTTTAGTAGACCCTACATTTATATTCGTAACAATACACGTAGTTTACGTAGTGCTGTGTTCGGCAAGTATACCCGAACCACCACCACCTGTAACAATAGCGGACAGAATAGCATGTATGAGAGTAAACCCTATGATGCAACTGCCAGTATCCACCAACCCTACTGCAACAAGACCTGTCGGAGTAGCTCAAATAGCCTTTTCCACCTGGACACACTCTGTAGGTGTAAATTGGCGAGTACACCCATCGACGACTTCGAGGTTTTGCTCCTGTTGAAAAGGGAAACGGCGTTTTTCAAATCATAGAGAGACTTTGATAGTTTTCGTGTGGGGAAGTGTTTCTGAGCATTTCGTATTACATCTCATAAATTTTGATATTTGAGGAGAAAAGCGATACTTCGGCTCGCTATGCATTGTATTTGGGGATTAATCTATAGAGTATGAAAAAGGGCTCTTCATAACGGGAAACTTGTGGCTCAAGTTAAGGAGTGGAGTTTTTGGGAAGGGAGGGTGGGGGGCAGTATTTGACTTACGCAGAATGGGGCAGCTGAGAGATGATCTCGCTAAAAATGGTTAGTACAACTGCGTCGTCTTTAACTACACCTCTTACCATCTGTTTCAGTCTCTTCGGATGCAGATGCGTTCTCCATGGTGTGGACTCGATATATCGGGTAGTCTGGACAGAAGTTTTTTAACTCTTCGCTCAGACTGGATCGATTTGTTATCTCACTGTCCACAGCCCACTTGCTGTCAATGGTAGTGGTCTCGTCACTAGAGTTTTTCTGCCAGAAAAAGGTTATTTCCCTCAGTTTACATTATTATAATCAGTATTCTTATAGCCGGGCCTTACATGAAATCTACATGAGCGATATAAAATAGAGCATACAGCAAAGGAATTGGAAGACTTGAGGCTTCAATCCTCACGGAAACTCACATTCTTTAAGCTGGCTATCGAAACATATGTTTCTTGATGTATATCTTCGTTATCGTTTACTTTTAAGGGTACCGTTTCCGATAAGGATAACTGGGTTTTCATTGAACGGTCCGTAACAAAATAACCCAACAGATTCCAAAATATGCAACAGTGGGTGCTCATAAAGTAGCTTACGTGTCCTTACCTCGGCGTGGTCAAGGTCATTTTCGAGCCTCTTTGGCGAAGGCAACTCGCGGGAAAGAGGAAGAAGATAGCAGATCTTTTTGTCTGGTAACATCAGCATACTCATATTCTGTGTTTAACGCAGACGAGAACGAAGTGAGTTTCAATCACTGAAAGCGGAAATACTCTACGTAGCTTTAAGGCGTGAATTCCCTTCTTTCCAGTTCTGCCATTAAAGTTGCGTTTGCAAATTAGCGTTTTTATGATACGTATGTTGTTCCAGAGGGAGCTTCAAAACAACTACACCAAATTCACTTTACTTTACTTGAATCATTTATTGTTCGGATACACAAGCTGTCTCAGAATGGTGACGTTAAAGCCAAACAAGAAACAAGCTTTCTTTAAAAATGTCCAAGCAAGGACGTAAGACATTCTAAAATGTGACAAAGTGTGTGAATATCGAGTAATATGGCATACTATTTCAACGTTCCTAAAGGTATTGAATTAAACCAAGCACACAAAGTTATCCGAGCCTGAATTTTAAAATTTGATCAAAATGTCAAAGATTCCAGTGGACTTGATGCTCTTTAGAAAGATAACACCTGCAATGACTGATAAAGGAAAAACTTTCGGCTCCATCGTGTAGAGGGCACCTCATAGTACACGTCACGATAGAACACTGCACATTATCCAATTGTTTCCATTGTCTTCCTCATTCTTTTTTTTTTTTTTTTTTTTTTTGCTCTCTAATGTTTTACGGCAACTGTGTCTTCTACTGTAAGAGAGAAACAAACTTACCGCTTTGAAGTCGTGTAATATATTACTTCCATCCACGTCATTATGAGCAGGAACTTTAAACAATTCAGTTTGCTTGTCTGTGTCCACCTTAATTTTCTCGGTGTACTGAGTTCCAGACTCTTTGAATTGGACGTCATAATCAACAACCTGAGATATACAGTGATGGAAATATCAGTATAAATTATTATGTCTCTCGTAGTACTTGCACAACATCGTGTTGACCGATGGAATATTTGTTGCACACTTTATCGCGTATTGAAATAACCATGATTAGAAGGCGGTTATTTATAGAGAAAAAAAACTGTTAGCCCGTTTTGTAAAATGAATTCCAAGTACTTACTTTCTTAGCGGTGGAATCTGTAGCTGATATTAAGGTTGTTGAGGCACAAAGCAGCAGCAAAATGAAGGCCAGATGATCTCTAATGAGGGTTGGTTGCTAAAACCAAAATTATAGTGCAAATGCTAATGTTATTCTCAATCACAAGACAACATGAGATTTTAAAAAAAAGGGACAAAAAAAGTTCGAACTCATTAAGGTAAGGTGAAATAACGATGCCTGCGTTGTGCATATCTCTGTCACACCTGGGGTGTTCGAACTGTGACCTGATCATGATCAGTCTCTATATTTACTTACCTGTAACATGTTGTCTTCCTTGCTTCGGTTTCTTCTTGGTTCTCTTCTTGTTGTTGTTATCTTCTTGACTGTGGCTGATCTACACTGCAGCTTTGGTAAGCTTTGCCTCATTTTATACACTTCTAAATGTTATTCATATGCAATGTCAATGTTCATGGATACTTCCGTTTCAGCGACAGTTCCTCCTTGTGTTTTTGAAAACGTGCTGTACGTGACTGTGTCTCTTTCCACTAATTTCAACTTTGTAAGCGTCTATTAAAGATCTTAAAGCCACACTAATAGTTTATTTCTACTACAGTATGTGTGTACCTTTATCCATCTAAAAGTTTTGCGCCGTTTTACTCACAGGGCTTTCTGTATAATCGGACACTCAGTTGGACTTATGGAACCTCCTTGCTTGTTGAAAGTCCTTACTGATCTGGTAAATTATCGATCAAATTTGAATCAAATGCCTTCGAACATCTAGATTTTTCAGCCAACAGTTAACATGTTGACGGTCAGCTTCCTGCCGGATGTCTTAGACATGGGACTTGCCTTGCCTTCAGCGATAACGGAAGCTGGACCTTACAGCTTTTTGGCGGCGCGTTACTTTACAATGATATTCATTGTTTGTAAGCTTTGGTTTATTACAACTGTGGAACGGAATGAAGATATTAGGTCCCTTGCACCTTCACCGAAGGAAGCTATAGGTATTGCTAAAGCATCCATGGCTGTTATAAAGTGTTTCCGCTTTGTTTTCTTGTCTAATGCTTGCATTATTATCATGATATTCGGTGATGTTTTAGAGGACACGTACCTTCAATAACAAGACTCCGTCTAAGTCCTTCCTTGTTTGACACATGACAGGAAGCATTCCTGTCGAACTACAATTTTCAGAAACAATAAAAAGAAAACAAGTTCATTAAGTAAATAGAGACACACAAACGCATCACGCTTTTTAGATCTCCTTTTATAGGAAAGTGTTCATAGGAATGATCAATAATGGGAGCCTATTTAATGCCGTTTTAATATTGACAGTCGCTACTCAACGCACATCTACTATTTACTTTAACCAGAGTGTTCAGTCGCTTTCAGCGGTTAATTGCTTGCAACAAACATTTCAGTATTGTACACTAAATACACTGCGACTGTTTGCAACAGCAATACAGCAAAACCCAGCAGGAGAACTGGCCTCAAAGGAATTCCTTATAGAAAACATATTCAACGTCCTCGGGCCCAAAATGAGAACTCATATACTTCTTCTGTGCTAATTTTTTTGCAACAGTTTTCTATCAGTTTGAAGGAATATCTAGTCTTCAATTTTTCAGCATTATTCTAAAGGACACCTCAGCACCCTCCAATTATTTCTGGTGAGCTTTCTCGCCTTCAGAACTCCGCCAATGAGTTTGCGCCCGTCACGGACGATTGAATATTTCAAAGCGTGATTTGAATTAAAAAAAAAGTAGATCCAAATTACGTGTTGCATTAGCACGGCCCTAAAAAAAACATTTTGTTGAGAGTCAAAGTACATCCAGTTTTGCCGACACGGAAGAAAAACAAAAACGTGAAACCAGGAAGGAAGTTCAACACACATATCCTAACGAGTTAATAAGATTGGAGATGGATGCGGTGTGTGTTTGTGCAAATAATAATCATGCTTACAACTGCTAACATTTGAATGACAATACAGTATTTACCTTTTGTACACTACTCCTAACCCTAATCCTGGCAAACAGTTCCGTTCAGTGAGGAGAAATGGCTTGTCTTTGTCTGTGTTACCTAGAAGAAAGGATTTCCAGGAGAGAAATTACGGAAAGCGTGCGTTTCTGAACACGCTCGAGATCATCGCATGGTGATATACGGGCGCGCAATACTCTACCGAAAAAATACCGCAAAAAAAAACTGTATGACGCTCGCGTAACTGGCTGTTCTTTTGTTGCGACAGCGTTATATTTCTTGCAAAAGGTAAACCGTTCCATTCACTAGAGCTCTCATTAAAAAAGCGGTCGGAGTCGGAGTTCTTTTTCATCCGAGCATGCGTGTGTCATTCACTGAATAACATCTTTTTTTCATTTATTTTTCTTTTGTTATCATTTGTATTTAAGAAAGGAGTAAATCATGTAATAAGATAGAGCCAAACTAAAATAACTCGCGCGCCAATAAACCCTAGCTCTCGGAAACGCGTATACGCCTCGAGATTATTAGTTTCTGTTGACAATCAACGTGTTGAATTTAACAGTCAAGTTTCTCAAATCGCTGAAAATAAGGTAACAATGATACAACTTGATAAAGGAGTGACAAAAAACGTGTTTCGAGTTATTTCGAAATCTCCTGAGGCACAGTCGTTATACAAGCTTAGGATTCTACCCTAGCGTTAATTTATGATGGTGGATTGATTTTCTTAAAATCCATTAAATTTATGTCCTAGAAGCTCACAGTTTTCCTGGAGCATCGCCGTCGGAAAACTGTTCGCATCTCGGAACAGATAATATCCGCGGACAAATATCCGAGCATACATTTTGAGCCAAAAAAAGGTTTAGGTAACATTTTATAGCACAGGAGAAAAGAGCAGTAAATCGGAGTCATTGAAAAGTGGCTAAAAGAGAAATTTTTTTCTACCCTCAGTAATGAAAATACAATGAAGTTAGGTCAAAGCTGTTTTATTCCTAGACATTTCGAGTAGAGAGGAAATGTATCGGAGTTTACTCGTTTTGAAAAGTTTAAGTTACTCCCGAAGACTCCACGAGCTATAAGCGATCGTAGATTGAGAGAAGGGAGGAAAAAGACCGACAATTAAAAAGACATGTTTTGTGTTGCATGTAGGAATGTCTCTGGACCTCACGTCAGTGTTAATGGATTGAGAAGAAAATAATTTACCTTCTCAGAAGGTCAAACACCTGAAATTTCAATGCAGTATGCATATCGAACGAGTGAGATGATGTTTTTGCCACTCCTCTATATAGGAGACATCATCTACTCGAAAAAGCCATCGAAATGAGTAATTTTACAATATTCATGGAGGTAAGATTAATATGTAATTAAATTCGGACGTTCTTTTGCGATCGTATTGTTATATTGAAAATCGGAGCGATCCAACAGTTGTAACGTAGTTGTAACGTTCGAAATAAAAATATCCATGAAATTTCCTGAATAAAGTGAGTAAGTCAAATAGCCTTTTCCACCTGGACAGACTCTGCAGTAGGAAATTGGCACGTACCGACGACTTCGATGTTTTTCTCCTGTTGAAAAGGGAAATGGCGTTCAGGGTTATCTTGGCATCGTTTCAAGTCATGGAGGGACTTTGATAGTTTTTGCGTAGGGAAGTGTTTATGAGCATTTCGTATAACATCTCTTAAATTTGAGTTTTGAGGAGAAAAGTGATACTTCGGCTCTCCATCTATTGTAATTGGGGCTTAATCTATAGAATATGAAAAAGTGTTCTTCATAGCGGGAAACTTGTGGCATAAGGTAAGGAGTGGAGTTTTTTGGAAGGGGGGGGGGGTCAGGGCAGTACATGACTTCCGCAGGATGGGGCAGCTGAGAGATGATCTCGCTAAAAATGGTTAGTATAATTGCGTCGGCTTAAATTACACCTCTTACCATCTGTTTCAGTCTCTTCGGATGCAGATGTGTCCTCTATGGTGGAGACTCGATAAATCGGGTAGTCTGGACAGAAGGTTGCTAACTGATCGATTGGTTATCTCACTGTCCACAGCCCACTTGCTGTCAATAGTAGTTGCCTCGTCACTGCTGTTTTTTCTGCCAGACAAAGAACATGTGTTTTAGTCGACTTTATAATAGAAGTCTTGCAAGCCATACATATAGTCTTCCGACGCTATCTATATTAGCAGTAAGCAAAACGATTGTCACATAGGGCATAACGCTGTGGAATCGGAAGGTTTGGGGCTTACAAATCGTCTTAGCTGCTTGGTAACACCGCCTGCCTAGATTAGCTCGCTATTTGCAGGAGGTGATTATTGTACAAAGATTTTCCTGCAAACTTAATAAACTTGAACTTAATAGTTTTTTTGATGTTGACTTTCAAGACAAATTCTTAGATTAGATTAGTGAAGAAAGCACACATTTTAATATTTTCAATTCAAAAATAAACAAAAATCTTTATAAATGGTAAATATTCACTTGTGTCGGTATCAACTATTGCGTGACTAGCTTATGATATAAATGAGGGAGGGGAAAACACAACGCAAAACCTGAGCTCCCGTCAAAAAGTAATACCCAGGCGTAATATAAAAATCGAAACGGCTAATAAAATCATAAATAAACAAGGTAAGAGTGTTATGTTAGACTTTTGTACAAATTGTAGTGATTTATGCCAATTAACGGTGGCGACAAGTAGGCGCACCATGTACATTTCATAGTCGCTATCAAGTAAATTTTGCCGGACGTTGAGTTCGTCTCAAGATAGAACAACACAAATACACAAGGAAATTTTTACAGTAACTTTATAACCATCCTTTGGTCTTTTAAAAGCTTGAAGCTCAGTAGATTGTGTTATATCGGTCATTGTTAAAACTGTCTTTGTTTTGATGCTACTTTTCGACATAGGAAAAGTATGTCGGACAAAAATATTCACCAAAAAATTAATATTTCTTTGGCAGCTTCAATAACGACAGGGAATTAAGTTTAGATGATTAAACAAAGGATTATGTTCACAGAAATACCGTAGGTCTAGTACATTCGTTACACGAGGTCACATAACTCGGGTAATATTCAAGGTGAAAATTTGCATATTGGAGCGGTCGAACGAAAAAAGTCATCTCTCGAAAACTAAAATATATTTTCGCAAAAAAACTACACCACAATTATTAGAACATATTGGGCGACAAAATATAAAAGAAGGAGGGAAAACGAATTTTGGGCGACTTGCCACAATATTTCAAATTTGTTCGATGGATGCTGACATCGTCTCTTAAGTATTCATAGTTATATCAAGTACTGCAGAAGTGGCTAATAATACTTAGGATATTGCAAACGTTGTGTATGAGGAAAAAAATAAAATTCTTGACATGTTTTAGATGCAACTCATCGATTCAAAAACTAATTGAGAGATCGAGGGAAGAATTTTTCATCTTGGTAGTATCCTTGAATGTTTCTTGGTCTTAGCAAGGACCCTCAATTACAAAAGTAACAGCGCGAGGAAGTACAAAAGTGTCGTCTCTATCGTGGAGGCATAGATTGAATGTTTGAGAAAAAATCACTTATTGGGAATTATTAATAAATGAGATACTCCCAGCGCCCTGATTAGTCGAAGACCTTTCGTTTATTACACTCATTAAGTTATGGTAGTGATGGCTGTGTTGTGCAAATATCTGTCGCACTATGAATTTGTCCAATTCCTGTTTACTTACGTGTAACATAGTTTCTTCCTGTTTCTTTTCTTGTCGTTTTTCACTTCTTGACTGTAGCTGATTTAAACGGCAGCTCTGCTTCAGTTTATACCCTTCTAATTGTTATTCATAAACATTAATTCTCAAGGATATTTCCGTGGGCGAGGGTTACTTCATAGTGTTTCAATTTAGATATCCTAGAATCTCTTCACCTAAAAAGCACAAAAATAGGAATGCCAGTTCTCTACACGGAAAGAGACTGTTGACTAGTGTTAGGGTTACGAATAGCTCTCAAAGCTACAAATTCTATATCTTTCTTCAAATGTTAGCAGTTGGAAGCATCACCTTTGTACATACCCACTCTTCTTCTTCCTTAAATCTTTGTAGCTCCCCAGTATATGTGCGTTCGACTTCCCTCATGGTTGCATGTTTGTGTTTTTCTTCCGTTTCAGCAAAATTGTACTTCAAGTCTCGCCAGAGTATTTTTTTTTCTGCCGTGCTAATTTAGCATCTCATTTTAGATCTTCTTTTCTAATTCATATTAATTAGAATATTCAATCGTCCGTTACTGGCTGAAGCCCGTTGACGTAGTGATAAAGACGAGAAAACTAACCATGAATATTTGGAGAGTTTTTAGTGGTCCACAAAAAAGTGGACGTTGCTATTTTTCATAAATATATTTCGTTTTGCCGGCTGGGCAGTATTTCCAAGCAAATTATACCTAGGCAAATCAAGCCGATGAATAACTTATCAATCCTCTCTTTTCCCTATCTCAACTGAATCTGAAAACGAGAAAACTAAGTTCAAAACATACATTTGCATTTATTTACAATTACTTTCCTGTCCTTGCTTACCGTAAGAAAAGAACAATTTAACCTACAACCTTAGACGTAAAAGCTGCCAATAGCCTAAGTTATAAGAACGCATTTGTAAATAGATTAGTTTTTAAATATAACCTTTTATGATATTTTATGCCAGATATATTGCAACTAGTTTGATCTTTCTATTCTTTTTATTCTATTGTAATTTTTGGCTTAACCTTGAATCTTTTTATCCTGTAACATTTTTTTTTTTATCTAATGAGCAACAAAGACATTTATAAAAGACATTTGTATTTACTGTACATTAACCAAATTGCTAACTAAAAAATGGATTGTTAGCTCCGAAAGGGAAGGTCTTTCCAATTTTAGGCTTTTGTAATAACCCATCATGAGGGTTGAAGACTACTGCTGTTCTTCAATTTCGTTGCGGAATAGTAACGAAATCCTGGATTCTAATAGTTGTTGGCAATAATTGAAACATAAAGAGTATTCCAACTAAGACAACCTTTACATTACTTAACTATTATTGAACAATTTAAAGCTTAAATTTACGACTCTTCTTTGTATACACGTTGCTTTGGTTGGTAATTTCTTCAGCTAATCGCCCCGATTTCATTTCATACATTTCCCCAAAATTTCTGTTCGTCATTCTATTGCAGCTTAACCTCGAAAGATTGAGATTTACGCGTTAAAAGATCATTTGTACTTCGACACTCATTGAAGCCCAACATAGTTTTACAATATGACATATCGACAACCTCACTTTCGTGAAGCCCAGCATAGTTTTACTAAATGAATACGTTCCGGAAACGGTAGGGCGGTATCATGCAATAGAATCAATAGACTTCATTTTATTTTAACAGAGGAACACGTGACGGTAGTGAAACCGATGACCCTGTGGCCCCCTGTAAGATAAGGCTTAAAATATAAAAATAAACGATGATATATTCTAGAAATGTTATACTCCGCAAAAAAATAACCATGGGATATATAAGAGTGTTTATCAATCCCTTTTTGACTTTTTTTGTGTCCTTAGAGATTTAGAGCTCTTTATTAACGTTATTCCAGTCTTTTAATTGATCAAACCGCGAATGATCGCACCCCTTCAGTAGAATTGTTCTATATGGGGCAGCGTAGGTTTAATTTGACAAAGCGTGTATTTCTGGAGTGGACATCAGAATTCAGTTGAAGCATAGGTTTCAGGTATTCAGGTGTGTTTCCAAGTGTTCTTTTGAGAATCATTGTGCATGTGTCGACGAATGCGTCTTGATAGAAGGGAAGCCAGTTTCACGTGTTGAACAAGGGTACTGAGCGTGAGCGTGGTTCCATGTCCAAGATGATCCTTGTAGTTATTTTCTGTAGTCTAAAATTAATGTTTAGGTTTTCATTAGATGTTGATGTGCAAATGTTAGCGCCCTATAGGAGAGCCATTTTGATGATAGCATTGTGGTATGTTCTCCCATGGTCTCTTGTTAAGTATGGACTAATATTTTTCAATAGATTAATTCTTTTTGGCACCTTGTTAGCGAGAGCATTACGTTCCTTACAAAATCAAACTAAAGAAATCTTAGACGGTTAAGAATATATGAAGGTCATATATTTGGAATGCTTCAATGGGAAGTTTTTGGATCCCCTCTCCCCTCTTGGTCTCCCCATAACCTCTAGACCCCTGCATCCCTCCACTTAACATTCCTTCTCGTAAGCAGATATGTGCTCATACCTGCATGTGTGATTTGTCTACTTGACCAGTTTTTAGCTTTATGCACATATAATTGTGGTCTATCACACCGGTAGTGATGGGCTACTTATTTTTGTTGCACGTTTAGAAACAGTAAAAGGTTTATAAAGATTAAACTGTTTGAAATGTGTGTGTATATACATGTATGTTGGCTTATCATATACATACTGAGATTTACTCCAAGCTAAATTTAAGGAAAAAAATCATGATTTGTTATAAACTGCACAAATTCTGATGCGTCGGATGGTTTTTGGGTGGGAAATGAGCATCTGACCAATCACAAATCCTAAATGAAATTATCGACTGGTGAAAAAGATAGTATGAGTCTTTTTGCCTTTGTGGAGTGGGGGTTTGTCAAAGTGGATGAAAGTGAATGTAAGCAATATTTGCTGGCTGCATAGAACCGTAGAATCATGATTTCAAGGTTAAAAAACAAGAAATCAGCCGTTGGTGTAAACAACTTAAATTCATTTATGAAGATAATGTCAGAGAAAGCAGAGTGGACTTCATAAGAATCAGGGAAAATCATCTGATTTCACCTCATGCAAACTGATGACAATCTTCGTCTAAATCTATGCTTTGATCAACCCCTGACATTTGCAATCCGGGGAACTAACATGAAATCTCCTCCAAAGTAATAGAAAAGTCTTAAATTTCTAGATTCTGACTCTGATGAAAGAGCGCTATTATCCACCTTTGTGATTTGGTTCAAGTTCGTGTGAATGAACAAAAACGTTTGTTTCAAATTGGCACTTTAATTCCTATGGTATTAACAAATGCTTTTCATTCAACTAATTTATTCCTCATTTTTGTCATTACTTTGTTCCAGCAGTAATGTAACTGTTGCTCCATTTTCTGCATTAAAAAACACACAACCTGCAATTCCTCAAATTACTTCATGTTTAGTTTGAATGTACAATTTTTATCCACCCATTGTATAAACAAAAACTTGCCTGTTCCATGCTTTTTGTTTTATTCTTCACAAATCGTGATAGAAATCGCACACACCGACTGACTATGAAGCATCTGTATTTCATACACGTCCGGCCAACCATGTTTAACCATTTTTGGAATTCAGTCATACCAAAGTATAATATTAAACTTGGTAATGCACTTGCTCTTAAATTATTGTTGTTGTAAATGGAAACAGATCTTCCGAGTGAATAAACCATAATTTTCTATTGTTGATTTAACAAATAGATTCCATGTTACTCTGCATCTGTTCAGTAATAGATCACATGTGACGTCAGAATGCGGTAAGAAAAAACAAGTGGCACATAAGATGCAGCTTAGCTTGATCCAGTTGTCAGCTATTGAAATGGAGCGACCGTAGGAGTGAAAGAGGGAGGGAGACTGCAGCACTGTTTACTATTGTGCTATGTTTTACTTACTGAATGCCTAGAACAAGCTAGGCATAGGTGAGCGTGTCACTGATGTTCTTAGCATCATGTCATTTGTGTGATTTATAACTCTGCAGAGCCACAGTAACATGGAATCTAATTGTTTTATTAAAAAAAAGAAGCAAAAATTGTTAATGGTGACGTCACCCATGAATTTGTCCTCCAATAGATCATAAGTACATGAGAGAACCAATCAAAATGCATTTAGAAATCAGCTTATTAAAATATGTAAAACCTTATTGATAATAGAAATTAGGTCAAAAGATATTCAAAGCTAAAGGAGGTGTAGCTGGGTGGTTTCAATACAAGTTTTGAACATTGTTGACATGCTCTCTATGATCAAGGTTATACATAATATAAAGTTGTAGTTGATTTCTTTTTTCAATAACATTGGAATTTTCATGCCAGCTTAGTGTACCGAAGTTTTTGGAAAATCATGCACATGTGACATGATTGATCATTGCATTGTTAATGTGCTGTTGTTGTTGTTGTTTAAACTTGTGTTATGTGATGAATTCAATGATTAAATATGGTTAGTATAATTTCTCAAGTTATTAAAGAGATGTGCATTTGCAAGGAAGTGATAAATGCAGTAGAAAATTAAATTGCGAAGAGCACAAAAGATGCTGAAAGATTAGCAGAACACTTTTCAAAACAAAGGGATGAAGTTTTTGCTGATTCAACTAAAGGAACCTCTTAAAAGTGCTTTATCATCTTGATACAGGTAAGCAACACAATTGTAACAAATAGTGCACAATGCTCTCTTCATTTACAAAATTTATATCAGAATTCGAAAGCACCTGAGCGATTATACTAAAAAACGTTATTTGCTGAAGGCAAAGGGAAGGTCGATGAATAATATTCGCCTCACCTTTGGCGAATATTTATTAATTTTTATTCACAATAATGTCATTTTACCATGTGAGGGCCATGGAACATGCACAATATGCCTTGGTTATACACTGTAGAACAGGGCAAGAATAGGGACAGAAGTGATGCATGTGATATTTGGTATCTTTTCCCATTTTTAGGTATGACTTTTTTCAGCAATGAACCTTTAAGCCCACAAGAATTTTGTTCTGGTCATCAAAAAACTGAAATGGTTCCTTTTCTAATCCGTTGTTTTCTTCTTTCATGCACATCCTAAGTGATGAGTAGGATGCTCATATAACACCATGCACATTTCAAAAACTAGAAGCCAAAAGACTAAAAAAATGAAATGAGTGAAATGATAAATCCCTCATTCCATAATTGAACATATATTTTGTGTGTGGACATTTCTACTTTCCATTTTCCACTTCAACACGTTCTTCATCAAAAAATTTCTTGAGGTGTACCACTTTTAAATTTTGGAAATAAACCACAGTTAACATTTTAAATCGGAAATTAAAGAAAAGGATTTTCATAAGGCACTAATAGTTACACATTACATTTATTGAACCTTGTATTATTACTTAGCAA